AAGACCCTTTTCACATCTGTTCTGCTATTAATGAGGTGCTTGGAGCATAATTACTCACACCTTTCTCTTCTCTTAACAGCTGAGAGGAAGCGTTCTCTAGGAAAAGACTACCATCCTCTTTGCCTGAAGTGTTACCAGTGCAAACGGCAGCTCAGCCCCGGCCAGCATGCAGAGGTAGGAAATGAACTGTCTCTTATCTGCCTGCCTGAGTTACTGCATGCCCACAATAATCCGTTTCCTGATCTCGTTTCAAAGGGCTGGCTCACACTGGGATGCACTGAAGCCTGTGTGCAATATGCTTAGAAGTTTTTTCAGTACGATAGCTGGGGAGATAAAGGCTGACAGAAAGTGGACATACACTGAGAACAGCAGACAGATTAGCGATATTACAACATCACGGTCCCACCACTATTTACTAAAAATATCCCCCTGGTCACAGTGATAAAGACAAACCGTCGTGTGTCTGTCACACTCTGGTGCAGGGAGTTGGACGGGCAGGCGGGTTGAGGAGAGCAAGAGAACAGCTTGCACATGGTGTGATACTCTGTAAGAGGGCTTGAAAGGAATTTGTCAGCAAAATGTTCTTTCATCAGAAAACACCAGCTGGTCAAAACCAAAATGGATAGGCCAGGGTCAGTTTCAATGTCTTGCTCATCTTGAAAAACTGTTTGTGGGGAAAATGTTTTAAAATTGTCCACACAACTTGTGTTGACATTTACAGAATCTGGAGTAATCACATGATTCCAGGAGCCGGAGCCCCAGACTGCATCTGCCTTCAAATGTCCCTGCTTCCCCATCCCAGTTTGCCTGTGTGATCTCAGATGTGTCCGTCCGCCTCTGCGGGCCTCAGCTCCCCTTCTCTACAGTGGGATTCTAATACTGCCTTTGTCTGCCTTGCCTGTTTGGCGTGGGCAGGGACCTAGCGTGTATACAACTCCCATGCCACAGGGCTCTGATGTCTGCTTGGGCCCGGGGTGCTCCTTTTTGACACACACGAGTAACTCAAGACGACAATGTGCATGACCTTTGACCCTAGGAGCTCTGCATGTGGTGGGGGACCATGACAGCACACCCCTCAAGTGACTGAAGTGCAAATGATGGGAGGTGAAGAATTAAGTTCTGGGGTACAGGGGAATCGTAGAGAGTTCTAAAGCTGGTAGTGGTGCATCTGCATCTCACAAAGATGTTGACACAGGAACTGAATGCTGAATTCTCAAGGTCTAATGCTCCACATCTTGCCCATGGCACTAGTCCCACTGCAGTCAATGGAATTACACACAGGACAAGCGAAACAAAATGAAGGGAGCTATCCACTGCTATCCTGGAAGCTCATATTGAGCTTAAATGAGATGCTAAAAGGGATCTGTGGTACAAAGCAAGGCCCATGGTGCTTAATTTTAAACGTTAAACTTGGCATGTCTTTTTAAAAAAGACAAACCATAACAAAAACAACCCTCTTGCTCAGTTCCCTCAATGCCACTCCCCTTCCCAGTATTTCAGTCAGTTTCTCTGCTTTCATCCCGAACTCGCCTCTAGCGGTGCTGTATTTTACTTTGAGCACACCCACATCAATGGCAGTACTCAAATACCATTAGCAGGAACATTTGGGGGTGGAATAATGACATGCCTTTGGCCCCCACTGAAATGCTTTGGATTCAGTGCAGATTTTGGAAGACAGGCATGCAAACTGAAAAATCTTTAATATAAGGAAATGAGAAGTGTTTCTCCTAATGAGTTACCATGAACTAACTCCGTATGCCTAGTTCATACACAAATATAATGTTCTATTTGAAGCAAGTTTAGATTCTGATGGAAAATTATAAAAAAATGTCTGTTCTCATTAAATAAGAATAAGAATAAAAAATTCAATGCAACACTTTAATTTAAAAATTCCCCATGCACTGTTTACAACCCAAACATTAAAGCATCATGCAGGGTGAGAGAAGTGCAATAAATCAAGAGCAACAGACTAGAGTCTAGTTTGCAGTTTTGTTATAGCCTTGCCAATCTCAGGATATCAGAGAGACAAGGAGGGTAAAATAATAACTGTTACTGGATTAACTTCTGTTGAGGAAGAAGCAGTGCTTTGCATTATTGTGTTGGAAATCTGGATTGGGAGCAGCCATCCCTTAGAGCAGAGGAGACAAAGAATCATACAAGTTACACTTTACCAGATAGGCGGTCCCACAACAAAGGTTTTTAAGCAAAGTAACTAGCCATGAGATAAGAGGAAAGATTGACTCATGGATCAATAACTGGTGAAAAGACAGGAAACAAAGAGTAGGAATACATAGTCAGTTTTCAGAATGGAGAGACATAATTGTTTCCAACACCAGAAAATTGGCCCTTTTAAAATGCCAAGTATATATATATATTAATAATCAGAACGATATTCTCTTTGCACATAACAAATGTAATTAGGTCATGAGTCCTTGCTTGTAGGCCACCGCTAATTTTTAGCTCAGTGATCAATTCTTCTAGATCTGTCAGAATAAGGTCTGAAACAGAAATACCCCAAGTTGGATAGAATAGGCTTAGCATTAGAATATCATCATCTATAATTTCCAGAAAGTCCAAGGACATTTAAATAGTGGCAGCATCATATCTCCTGCATATAACTCCCAGACTGAAATTCCCAATGACAACATAATTATTCTTATACACTGTAAATAGATCTTTCAAGAGCTGCTTATCCTGCTCTCAGTGTCTGTAACAAGCTTCCACCCGTGTCCCATCCGTGACACTATGGATGCCTAAGCACCCCAGGTCCTGTGCTTTGAACTGATGGTAGTTCTAAAGCAGATAGTGGTATCTTCGATGGAGCGTGCCACCTCCTTCTCCTGCCACCCACCTGGAGGGTGTTTCCAGCCATGTTACAGTTCTCATCCAATGAACCCTCCCACCCAGTTACAAGAATAGCTGAGTAGCCTCCAGTCTTGAGCCTGACCTCCTTATCATCCCCTGAACACCCATGGAAACAAACTACAATTTGTTAGCTAGTGATCAAGTAGTGTCCCTTACCCCATCACTGTCTCTAGGTATATTTTACTATTACATTCCAATAAAATCATAAAGAATCACAAGCAGCTGTCCCCCAAATCAACATCAGTCCAGATACACTCTTGGTGAGAAGCTAAGGATGACAACGTGATAGCTAGAGACGTTTTGATCAAACCAACATGTACAAGGTAATGGGTAGTAGCAAACCCCCTTGGGGCAGTAACTAACCGTGTCAGAGGAGCAATACTTAAGGGCTGTCTAGACTGGCAAGTTTTTCTGCAAAAGCAGCTGCTTTTTTCCGCATCCATCAGTGTTCTTGCAGAAATACTATGCTGCTCCCATTCAGGCAAAAGTCCTTTTGCGCAAAAGGGCCAGTGTAGACAGCTCAGATTTGTTTTGCATAAAAAACCCCCGATCGCGAAAATGGCGATCGGGGCTTTTTTGCGCAAAAGCGTGTCTAGATTGGCCAGGGACGCTTTTCTGCAAAAAGTGCTTTTGCGGAAATTCATCCATGCCAATCTAGACGCTCTTTTCCGCAAATGCTTTTAACGGAAAACTTTTCCGTTAAAAGCATTTGCAGAAAATCATGCCAGTCTAGACGTAGCCAAGTTGTTTGTATGGGTGTACAGAGAGGAATCTGCAAGGGAGTGTCTCAGGCCAGCCTAGGAGGAAGTGGAAAGTCCTGCCATTGACTGAGCTGGTCCATTGCCGCAGGCAGACATGTACTAGAATAACTGTTGACTAGGATCCAGGGAGCATGGGCCATGCTTTGTTGGCAATAAACCTGGCTGGGCTCCTGTGCTACTGAAAAGAATCTGTGGGCAGTTTGATTCAGGTCTGCCGGGTTTGCTATCTGTGCAGAGAGGGTGCAGCACACCAAGAGAACACACACACACACACAGCCAACACGAGACCCCAACAAAAGGCAAAGTGAATCCCAAAGCTGAGGACCCTCACATGAAAACATCCTGCTGCACAATTCTCTCCCTTTCCTCTACTTTACACATGGGAGTTTTAAGAATCCTAGAACTGGAAGGGACCTCGAGAGGTCCTCAAGTCCCGTCCCCTGCCCTCATGACAGGACCAAGCACCAGCTAGAGCATCCCTCACAGCTTGAACATCCCAGCAGATCTCAGATGGGGGAAATCTGTCTGTTCAGTTTCTGCGTTCTGTGTGAGATTATGAACACTCCGTATGAACTCTCTTTACGAGGCGGGGGGCTCACCAAGCTCCAAAGGCTGATGGCCAACAAATAACAGGGCAGAGTGGTTGACTTGAGTCTTCAGCCACTGAGCTGGAATAGCTCTAAACAACAGACTGCCTCCCAGCACTCTGGGGTCACGAGCTAAAGACTCAGATGAAGTGGGCAGGGGGAACGGGGAATGCTGCCTGCCTACCTATCTGCTAGAACACAGCTGATGTCCCCAGGTCTCTCAAGGGAAGGATAAGCAGGAGAAGGAAAATGGGTGTCAGAGGGACTTGTCTGCTGATGCGATTGCCTAAAGAGCAGTAATGCGCCAGCACTGGGCGCAGAGTATCTTGGGGCAACACCTACCACATGCCTCCTGACGGAGGGAGTGGAGCTGTAACTCAGCAGGCTCACCCCACTGGGTAGTGTTTACACTGCTGGGGCACCTTGGGGGTCAGTGCTAGACCTTGGGGCCTAAGGCAGGTGGTTGACAAGGTAAGTGACAGAGAGTCATCACCCAACACATTTGCAAGGAAGACCATGGGAGGAACCAGTAATGCATCCTGCTGAGGCCCAGAGTAGCTTACAGCAGAGCCAGGGCTCCAGAGGCTGGATTCACCAGCAAGCTTCTTGTCAGAAGTTGGGAAGGGACGACAGGGGAGGGGTCACTTGACAATTCCCTGTTCTGTTCATTCCTTCTGAAGTTCCTGGTATTGGCCACTGTCGGAAGACAGGACGCCAGGCTAGATGGACCTTGATCTGTCCCACTATGACCGTTCTTATGTTCTTAAGCTACTGGGTGACCAAGAGGGAAGCCTGGCCAGACCTGTTACAAGAAGTAAAACAAGGAATGAAAGGTGGTTTCTTAGGGTTGAAGTACTAAACCATGCAGGGCTTTATAAATCCACACTCTGAATGCTCCGTGGCAAACTGGGAGAGAGACTCTGAAATGTTATACAACATATTTTCACAAGCAGGACTTCGGGGGGTTACAGCGTGTAGGAAAAAACCTAGTCTCTAGAACTAGCCCTTAGTTGTCACTTAACCTTTTGCTGTTCTTCCTTCACAGTATGACGACAAACCCTACTGCAATCACTGCTACCTGCAGCACTTTGGACCAAGAGGTAACATCCTTGCCTACTCGTTAGTTCGCCCATCACCTAAATGCTGTAATTAAACAGACTGATTTTCAAAAGCAGCCTCTAAATCTGTGCCCTCGGTTTTCCAGGCACAGTCATTTGTGCATGGAACAAGAATGAATTTGCCCAAATAAAATTTATGGGAGCAAATAAGAGTTAGTTAGTCAACAACCTCACTGGTGCACAGAAATCCCAAGAGTTAGCTAGTCAACAACCTCACTGGTGCACAGAAACCCCAAGAGTTAGACAATCCACAACCTCACTGGTGCATAGAAATCCCAAGCTGAAGGTCACATATTTTATGCAGGCAAATTTGCAAGTGCAAATTTAGATATTGGATTGAATCCCCTTTGAAAATACAGTCAATAATATTTAAGGTTAAGATTCTGTCAAAGTAAGGGGCAGGTCATGGGCAATAAACAAAATCCCACGCCAGCCTGCACTGTCCCTGCCTTTTACTGAAAATACCCTGGGGAGGTGGGGAGAGAAGGGGATGATGAACAGAGCTCTGCTGGGAGCTAGCAGTTGTTCCAGCCCTGCTGCTGGTCCTGTGGCCAGGGCTGACCGCGGCTGCTCCAGCCCCAGAGGCCTAACCCAACCCCATTTGCAACTCCCGTGGCCCACACCTGATCACTAGTCAGCTGTTCCAGCTGCTGCTGCTCTGGCAGCTTCAGGGCTGCCAGCTACTCTAGCCCTGTCTCAGAAATAGTCACGGCAGTTCTGGAAAAATCACAGACTCTGTGACCTCCATGACAGAATTGTATCCTTAATACTTAATGTCGCATTGACCTCTTCCAGTTTCAGTATGCCTATTCTTAGCAAACGTTTCCATGGCGTCGAGAAACAGCACGACGCAGGGGGCTGTTGGAAGTAGCATGTC